CCACCACCGACATCAACGGCCCTCCCTGGGAGGCGGCTGTGCTCATGGGCTTCCTCATCCTCTCCCGCCTCCTGGTCTACATCGCGCTGCGCATGAAGACAAAGGCGTGAGGTGCCGCAGCCGCCGCAGGCAGCAGCCCCGCGGCGCCGGCTGCAGGGGCTGGCGGCGCCGGCGTCGCGCCTGCGCCCCGCCTCCCTGCAGCCAGCCAGCCGCGGGCGCCCGCGACTCCCTCCCCGGCCACTCGCTCGCCAGCCTACCGGAATTCTCACATTGAGAGTGATAGCCAGGCAGCGCTGCCCCGACGTGGCGGATGCCACCACCGCCGCCCACGGGAGGGCCAGCCTCCAGCCCCGCCGCCAGCCCCCAAGGCTTGCGCCCCCCGCCTCTGGTCCACTGCAAGGCGCGCGCCACGCAGCATTTGGTCCACTGCAAGGCGCGCGCCACGCAACATGCATGCCCCCATTTCATCAGTACCTGCTCCCCCTTGACATACAAACCCTCCCATACCCTCCTGCCTGTCGCTGCACAGGCATGCACGCCTGCCCGCCCTCCCATTTCATTTCGAGTACTGCAGATTCAAGGCATAGAGTATGGAATCTCTATTCACACTGTTGTCAACTAGGAAGAGGAAGAGAGGGCATGCCCGTTGAATTACACTGCAGTAGCTCTTGCCCGTAGCAACCCCGCCACACTGGGCTGCAGCAGCTGCCCAACTCACATGTAACGACTGGTCCGACCGCAGAACAGCCAGGACCTGTCAGCCACACATGCGCGCTCAGCTGCTGCCGCCGGCTCTGCTGCCGCCGCCGCCGCCGCTGCTGCTGGCCAGGCCGCCGCTGCCCAGATCCTTGCCCGAGTCTGACCAGCCGCGCACCCACTCCTTGGGCGCCTCGCCCGCGGCGCGCGGCACGCTGTGGTGCCGGTCCCTCAGCGCCTGCACGTGCGCCTGCAGCGCCGCAAACGTGCGGTTGTGCCGCAGCTCCTCCGGGGCCTCCGCCTGCGGCAGGCGGTGCGGCGACCAAGCGCTGGGAGACGCGCAGCACGCACGAGGCCACGTATGCCCTTCCACCAGCGCTGCCTTCCCAGCCAGCATGCTTCCTCACCACCTCGTGCCTGCACGCTGTGGCAGCACATGGCGCCAGCCCACCAGCCACGGCACCAGCCCAACTGCCAATAGCCAAGCACGCACCCAGCCGCCCGCCTCACCTGCGCGGTCAACCACTTGAACATGTCTGGGTTCTCCTGACCCAGCACCACCTCAAACTCCCGCATCTGCTCCACGCTCATCTGCGGCAGCTCCTTCTCCGCCCACATGCCCTGCGCAGCGCAGCGGCAGGGGGTGTGGCAGCGGCGTCGAGGAGAAGCCGAGGGGTGTGGCGGCGGCGAAGCTGCCACAGCCACCACCACACCGCTGCCCAGGCCCTCCTAGGCCCACTCACCACGAGTAGGTCAAGCTCCAGGAAGCCTCGCTGACGGCTGCGGTACAGCAGGCGGTTGACGAGCTGCAGGGCAAGGGGCGGGCGGCAGGCGCCGAGAGTGGCGGTGGGCGGCGGCGAGTGGCGGCAGCGTCTCAACCCTAGGCGTACGGCCGGCGCTTCGTAACCAGCGCACTACAATGCTACGTGACAAGACTCACCGCCTTGCGCTGCTGTTCCGAGTCGGGAGCCTGTTGGTCTCGTTCCAGCCTGCTGGCGTGCCCCTCCCGGGCCCACTGATGTTTCCAATTCAAATGTAAAATTCCTTGGCAAGAACAACCAGCCAGCCCCCCTGGTGGTGGTTGACCCGCTCGGGCTGCAAACAACGAAACCCGAGGTTGGGCCGTCTTTTGGGCGGCCATGGGCTTCAAATGAAGGTGGGAAACAACAGGGCTATCCTGTAAGGGTTAATTTGCTGCAGGGTCTGGTAAGAAGAGGCACAAGGAGGCCATCGCCTGAAAACGAACTCTCCCCCTCCCCGCTCTGCTTGATTCAATGCACCGATCCGCCAGACCAGACAACAGGCTAGCTAACATTGCAGGCACAAACGGCCCACCCCCGAGGGTCCAACCTTGGCTCCAATGGGCCGGCATCAGCATCAAACGAGCGAGAATGGCACGGGACCGGCTTACAGCACTCGTGGTGCGGCGCTCCGTGCCGCGGCAGCCGCGCTGAAGCCCAGCCAGTCGGCCGCTGCACGCTGCCAGCCGGCGCCGGCGGCCTCCTCTTGTGCAGCGCGCAGAGGGCCGGCAGGAGCAGCCTCCTGTTATGCACAGCGCGCGGAGCTGGCGCCGGCAGCCTCCTCTAGCAATCCACAGGGGCCACCACCCAGCTGGGCAGCGGCCAAGCCGTCAGCGGTGGCGAGCATAGCGCCAGCGGTGGCACAGGTGAGCGGCACCCTCTCAGCAGAGCACACTTGTGGCAATCACCCACTGACCTCTCAATTGGTGCCGCAGGTGGCGAGCCCTGCACATGAGGAAGCAGAGCCATGGGCGGTGCCTGAGCGCACAGCGCCGGCGAGCACACTGGAGATGGAGGAGTGCTGTGTGGGTGGGTGGGCATGGCGGCATGTCGTCAAGCTGGGTGCTGCACGCAAGGGCCACAGGCACCGGCGGCATGGCTGGGCTGCAAGCGGCCCACCACCCTCAAGGCGCCGCCATCTGTGCCGAAGACGGAACCTGGGTGCTGGCTGCCCAGTCACTTGCGTGCCCCCGTTGCTGGCCAGCCTGCAGGGCAGCTGCGCCATGCTAGGCAGCATCGATGCGCTGCCGCCGGGCGACATCAAGCTGGTGCTGGCCATGCGCCTGGTGGCGCGGCTGTGGATGCCGGGGCGTGGCGAGATCGCGGAGGTGGGCTGAGGCGATGTAGCCTGCCTGCGTGCGGGGCTGCTGCCGCTGTGCCCTCAGAAGCTGGATGATGCTGCCGATGCGATCAACAGTTTTGGCCTGCTCGCCCACTGCCGCAGGCTGGCGAGGCACTCGAGGCGCTGGCCGCTTTCATCGAGAAGTATGAGGCGCGGCGACTGGGGGGCGAGAGCATGCCGGTCAGATATGCAGGCGCAGTGGATTCTTTGAGGGCCAGGGCATTGAGGAGCCACCGCTGCAGATGGTGCACATGTGTGTGCCACAAGCCACAGCAGCGGCAGGAGCCCTCTGGCCTCTGGCCATATGCCGCCCGTCCCGCCACGTGGGTGCAGGTGGTGGTGCGCCGTGCCGCATTGCGGTACCTGCAGAGCTGTGCCTAGGGCATTGAAAGCAGCTGCGAGGACGGCAACCATCAAGAGTCAGGAATGACGCCACTGAAGGGGGGCTGCGGGGGGGACGGCATGGCAGCCCGCCGCCGCAGGCAGTACAGTGTACCATCAATCCGACCTCACCCCTGCACTTGAAGCCCTGACCCAAACAGTCGTGGAAATTGGCCTGACCAGCGGCCCGAGAAGTTGCTCTGAGAGGCGAGAAGGGGCGCAATGCTTGCCACCCAGCAAGCTGTGGCCTGTTCTGCGGCAGTCCGGCCCGCCCTGCCCAGCAGGTTGCAGAGGAAGCGGAAAAACGGGCTGAAAGTCCGAGCATCAGCCCAGGGAGAGCAACCCGAACAGGTGGGCTCTTCCCCCACAGGGCGCCATCGTAAACGCTACTGCCGACCTCCTGGCTGGCTGCCGCGCATCCCTCCACGCCTCACGCACGCGCATGACTGCAGGAGTCCAGCCTGGCCACCCGGATGGGCGCCCTGGCGCTGGCGGCCTCCCTGGCGCTGGGCGCCGCCGCTCCCGCTCCGCCGCCGGTGCTGGCAGAGGAGGAGCAGCAGGAGATCGTGATCAGCAAGTATGCCTCGGCTTCGGAGCGCCGCGCCCTGATGGCGGAGCGCCGGGAGCAGCTGCTGCGCAAGACCCGGGAGGAGGCGGAGCGCGCCGGCAGCAGCAGCAAGGCTAGCCGAGCGCCGGCGGCGGCGGCAGAGGCTGGCGGCAGCAGCAAGGAGGACTCGATGGCGGAAATGCTGAAGCGGCTGAGCGCCACCGTGAGCGCCTGCCCTGCTGCCAGCCCTGCGCTGCTCACTGCAGCCAGCTGGCGGGCGCCATGGCAGTGCATGCGCCGTGAAGAGTTGGCTGGATGCTGGCATCCTCTGTGATGATCGAACGAACTGCTGAACTGCCTTGCCCTGCTCCTTTCCTCTTCTCCTGCAGGACTACGGCAAGATGACCAACTCCAGCCCCAAGCTGACGCCCAAGCCAGATGAGGACGCCCCCAAGGCAGCGCCGGCCGCCGCCAAGCCAACGCCCGTGCCTGCCGCGCCCAAGCCCGCCGCCAAGCCCTCCATGCCATCCTTCAGCCTGCCCAAGTTTGACATGCCTGAGATCAAGGCAAGGGGCTGCAGCCGGTGGCTGTTTTCCCTTCCCTCTGCTACTGTCGATGGCATTTGCTGCCGCCCCTCCATGCTGTTGCCAGTCAGCTAGCCGGGAGCGTGTGGCGTGGCGCCAAAATTCCCCCTGCCTGCTGCCTGCCTGCAGGCGCCTGAGATGCCCAAGCTGGAGCTTCCTAAGGTGGACCTGCCCAAGCCGGCCGCAGCGGAGAAGAAGGCCCCGGCTCCGGCCCCGGCCCCGGCCCCCGCCGCTGCCACCCCCAAGCCCGCCGACAAGCCGGCACCGCCGCCGCCCGCCCCCAAGCCGGCCGAGAAGAAGGAGGCACCTGCTGCCCGCAAGCTGCCAGACTTCACCGCTCCTAAGATGCCGGAGTTCAAGGCACCTGCCTTCAACTTCACAGCACCATCATTCAAGGTGTGTGTGCGGGGAGAGATCTGTGCCAGCACCCTGACGTGTGTGTTGCTACGCAGGTGTTCCAGCCTGCCTGCTGCTGTTCCGGACAGCAACAGCGGTGTGCCTTGGGCAATGGCGCATGGAATGCAGGCGCCTGAGCTGCCCAAGCCGGCGGCACCGGCACCCAAGCCTGCGCCGCCCCCCGCCGCCGTGGAAATGCCCGCGCCCAAGCCCGCTCCGGCACCACCGCCGCCTGCTGCTGTGAAGAAGGAGGAGGCCAAGCCGGCTGAGAAGCTCACCTCCAGCATGCCTAAGTTCTCGGCGCCAGCGATGAAGGTGCGTGCGGCTGGCGGGCCGCGCTGCCGTGCCGTACGGCGCACGCCCCCATGTGGCCGGCCCTCCTCAGGGTGGGCACTGCCTTGCGTGCCTGCAGGCGCCCGAGCTGCCCAAGCTGCCGGCTGCTCCTTCTCTGGACTTCAAGATGCCGGAGTTCAAGGTGGGCTTGTGTGCATGTGCCTGTGTGTGTGTTGGTGTGTCGGCGTGTTGTCGTGCATCGGCGTGTCGCAACCACCCCCTGCCTGGCCTGCACCTGCAGATGCCGGCCCCCGACGCCAGCAAGCTGGGCGGCTTCACAGCGCCCAAGCTGCCCTCCGTCAACCTGGATGTGAGTAGTGCTCAAGCAGAGCAGAAAGCTTCCCGCTTTCTACTAGTGGGTCTGCACGCAGCCAGACAGTATCTATTCAGCTCGCTGGCGCTCCTTTTCTTCGCCCATCCACCAGCCAACACACACACGAATTGCTCCGCTCGTCATAACCGCCGCTCTTGCAGGTGGACGCGGACAAGGTGAAGGCCAAGCTGAGCATGCCCAGCCCCAAGCTGCCAGCCTTCCAGGCGCCCAAGCTGGATGCCTCCAGCTTCAAGTTTGACTTCAAGCCGCCGCCCGCGCTGGAGGTGCGGGGCTGGGCCTTGCGCGCGCAGTCGTCTGGCGCAGCGCTGTCGGGCCGGCTGTTAGATGGCCAGTTGCCACGTGCTGTGGCTGCCCTTGAGGCATGGCTGGGCTGCCTGCTCAGCAGCATGCCCTTCCCTGCCCTGCCCAGCGTGCTGCATGCTCAGCAGCATGCCCCTCCCTGGCCTGCCTGCAGGGCAAGAAGTCGCCGCTGGAGGGCTTCAAGGTGTGAGGGGAGGCCGCGCCTGTGTCCCTGTGTGTTTGTGAGTGTGATGGCATGTGGGGCATGGATGGCAGCCGGTGCTCGGGCGGGCTCTGCAGCGCACGCACTGGGATACTGTATTACCAAGTGTGATGTGCGGTTTCTGCCCTGCGCAGGCCCCAGAGTTCAAGGCACCCGAGGTGAAGGCGCCGAGCTTCAAGGCGCCCGAGCTGCCAAAGCTGGCCCTGCCCAAGCCGGCGCCGGCCCCTCCGGCCGCCGTGGAGAAGCCCGCGCCCAAGTCCGCCCCGGCACCCGCGCCGCATGCTGCTGCAAAGAAGGAGGAGGCCAAGCCGGCTGAGAAGCCCGCGGCCCCCGCATTCAGCATTCCGTCCTCCCAGGCGCCGTCTTTCAAGGTGTGTGTTGGAGGGGACTGAGGCCGCCACTTGCATGCTCCCCTGGCAGCTTTAGGTTTTGGAGCACACCTCGTTTTGCTGATGGGCAATGGCGCGATGCGATGCAGGCGCCTGAGCTGCCCAAGCCGGCTGCCCCGGCGCCCAAGCCTGTGCCACCACCGGCCGCCGTGGAGAAGCCTGCCCCCAAGCCGGCCCCGGCACCCGCGCCCGCTGCTGCTGTGAAGAAGGAGGAGGCCCAGGCAGCTGAGAAGCCCGCCTTCAGCATGCCCAAGTTCACGGCACCAGCGGTGAAGGTGCGTGCAGCTGGCAGCTCGCTCACTTGTGCTTTGGGGCTTTGGCGCAGCCTGCGCATCGTCATTGCGCCGAGCATCAGCGCCTCTTATCGCTGCGGCATGGGCCCCAACAGCCCCTGCTCCCGGTGCACATGGCTGTATGTGTGTGACGCATGCAGGCGCCTGAGCTGCCCAAGGTTCAGCTTCCCAAGGTCGGCCTGCCCAGCCTGGATGTGAGTTGCAGGCCGTGGCTGCCAGCCCTGCCGCCAACCGCCACGCGAGCAGATATACAACATAAGTTGCTTGCCGCCCTCCCCAACGCACACATCCACCAACACGCGCGCTCGCACCACGCCCACCTGCCCACTCCCACTGCCTGCCCTGCCCTGCCCTCCCCAGGTGGATGCGGACAAGGTGAAGGCCAAGCTGACCATGCCCAGCCCCAAGCTGCCAGAGTTCAAGGCGCCGCGCTTCGAGGCCCCCAGCTTCAAGCTCGACTTCAAGCCGCCGCCCGCGCTGGAGGTGCGCGCCGCCGCCCGCCGCCGCGCTGCCGCAAGCTCCCTCCGCCCCAGGCCTGCAGCCCGCTCAGCCTTCGCAGCGCACGTTTCCAAGGTCCCAGGGCTTCCCCTACCCATGCCCCTCCCCTTTATGTGCCCCTCGCCCTGCCCCACCTTGCACGGCGCAGGGCAAGAAGCTGGAGGTGCCCACCCCAGACAAGCTGGACTTCAAGCCACCCCCCAAGCTGTTTGGCAGGCCTGCCGAGGTGCGCACCGCTGGCGTCCTCACACGCCGCCGCCGCCTGGCGGCCTTGTGGCTGTGCTTGGTGCATCGGCGTCCGTCCCTGCCCTGCCCACCTGCCTGGCCTGCTGGCTGGCAACAGGCCGCTCCAGTGCTGGTTGTTAGAACCTGACATGCACCCACACCTTCTCCTTTTCTGTTGCTGTGGATGCAGCCCGCTGCTCCCAAGCTGGCCGCACCCAAGGCAGCCGCGCCCAAGGCCGAGGCTCCCAAGCCGGCGCCTGTGGCGCCCACGGTGCCAGTGCCCGCGGCCCCGGTGGTCCCTGCTCCACTCCCTGTGCCGGTCCCCGTCCCGATCCCTATGGCCCCTGAGCCCGGCAGCTCCAGCTTCTTCGACCTTCTGAAGGATTCTTTGGGCCAGGAGGAGAAGGTGGAGGCGCCGGCGGCAGAGGCGCCAGACGCGGCGGCGCAAAAGGCGGAAGAGCAGAAGGCGGCCGAGGCCAAGGCGGCGGCCTCCGCCGCGGCCGAGGCGGCGCAGCAGGCGGCAGCACGCGAGGAGGCGGCCGCGGCCACCGCGCGGGCTGAAGCCGCGGCGCGGGCCGCGGCAGCGGCGCGGGCCGAGGAGGCCGCTCGCGCCGAGGCGCAGGCTCGCGCCGAGGCGCAGGCTCGCGCGGCCGCCGAGGCGGCGCGCCTGCGCGCGCAGCAGGAGGCGGCGGAGCAGGCGGCCGCGGAGCGCGCCGCGGCGCAGAAGGCCGCCGACGTGGCAGCGGCGCGGCGCGCGGCGGCCTCCGGCAATGGCGGCAAGCGCCGGGGCCCGCTGCCGCTGTTCCTGGCGCAGCTGCTGGTGCTTTCCAGCTTCGTGGCGGTGGGCCTGGGCGTCACCAAGTATGCGGCACAGACGAAGCAGGCGCTGCAGACCGCCGGCGGCGCCATCTCTCTCGCCTACAAGGCGCTGGAGCAGGCTCTGGCGAAGCAGAAGAAGAACTGAGAGCCGGCCAGCCAGCCATTGGTGACCCCCGCCGAGCCCGGCAGCACGGCGAGCCTGCGACAAGCAGGCAGCATGCCACGTGAGAGGGCGCAGGCGGGCGGGCTTTGCGTGTCGGCTTGCAGATTGGCAGCCGCCCAGCCAGCCCAGCGCCTGCGCCCAATCGGGATTGCAAGAACGCACCATCCTCCAAATGCTGACCCCTGTTTTCCTTTGACGAGGTGAAGTGTCTAAGTATAGTGAAAATGATTCCCTAATCCCCCCTGTCGTGCGAACCCCCTTTGATGCTCCCACTTTTGCCCCGGCTGCACTGTTTCCTCTTTTCCAGAAAACCCTTCTTTGCGCTCTGCCGACGGCCGCACTGTCCGCCGCCGGCCGCTTTGGCCCCGCTTCCCATGTCACGTTTTCTCATTTCATTCGTCGATGTGAGCCGATTGAGCTGAAAAAGTGGGAGATGAGGTGGCAGGCGAAGATACAGACCACAGCATGCACGCCGCGCGCTTTCCAGCCTGCAAACGCGTCGCCCGTCATGGCCTAGCAACCCTGGCAGGCTCTATCCATTCCCTACTTCACTTCACGGTGCACTGGCGTGCTTTACCGTCGGCTTCACCGTCTGCCTGCACTCTACACCCCCATGGTGCCAACAACCCCCACCGCCAAGGACAGCCATGCGACCATTCTGAGCCTCACGCCGCTACGCAAGTTCTTCGGAGGTGGGTTGCAGCTGCCTGGGGCAGACTCAGCGCAACATGGCCGGCCATGCATGCCGGGCATCTACAAACGTGCTTGCCCCTCGTCGCCCCCTACGCACTGCAAATCGCTTCTTCTGCTCCCGCTATGCGACGTGCAGGCAAGCGCATACACACGGCCGCACTCGCCCCTGCCGCCGACTCCCCCACCGCCGCCGGCGCCTCGAGCGGCGGCGACGACACTCCGCCCTCCCGCCCCCGGCTGCTAATGGTGCACAGGAAGTGTGTGGACCCAAGCGAGCACACAGACCACAGGTGAGGGGAGATGCACGGCCTCACCCTGTTTGCCCCTCGCGCCGCCCACCCGCCGCCGCCACCTGTCGAGCGGCAACACCTGGTCTTTCGGCCGCAGCCACAGCCAACTGCCCGCATGTGCCGCCTCCAGCCCCATAGCTCCCTGTCGAGGCGCACCCCTCACCTCCCTCCCGCCTCACTCCTTGCTCCCCTGCAGGTCCCGCGGGCGCGGCGCCCTGCTCACCATCGGCCTCAACCGCCGCCCCACCTCAGACCTGGATGAGCCCGAGCTGAGGGCTGCCCTGGCCGACGAGCAGGCCCACTCCCGCCAGCTGGAGCAGGCGCTGGTGGCGGCGCACCACGCGCTGTCGGCCGCGCGGCAGCAGGCCGCCGACCACGAGGCGCGGCTGGCGGAGGCGCGGGCGGCGAGGCGCGGGGCGGAGCAGGACGCTGCCGACGCGCGCACCATGCTGGCCGCAACCGACGAGATGCTGGGGGAGGCGCAGGCTGCGGCTGAGCGCTGGGAGGCGCGCGCCGGGGAGGCCGAGGCGGCTGCCCGCCTCGCCCAGCGCACCGCCATGGTGGCCAAGGAGCACCGGCGAGCTGCGCGGCGCGCGGCGCGGCGGGCTGCCAGCTGCTGCCGCCGCGACCTGGAGCGCACCGAGCAGGAGCACCGGCAGTGCGCCAGGCAGGCGGTGGCGGATGCCGCCGCGCGCCAGCAGGCGGAGCACCGCACGGCGGCCGCAGAGGCGGCCCGCATGCAGGCCCAGCTGGCCAGCTGGCGCGCGCAGCAGCAGGCGGCCGCCGAGGCGGCGGCCGCGTGGCAGCAGGCGCAGGCGGCCGCGGCGGCGGAGCAGGAGCAGGTGGCGGCGTTTGTGGAGGCCATGCGCCAGCAGGCCATCATGGACGCCCAGTTTGCAGCCCACTTCCTGCCTCATAGCCAGGCGACGGCGCAGCAGCAGCTGGCCCGCAGGCGCGACCACAGCGAGGGCGGTAGCCCACTGGCCAGCTACGACGGCACCGACTGCAGCTCGCCCAACAGCCCCACCGCAGCCACGGAGCGCTGGAGCGCGGCTGGCGACTGCTGAGAGCTGCAGACTCTCGGCCATATCCCTTGTTTAGATCTGCCTATACCCACGCTACATTCAGTGCTGGGCCTGCTTTGACCTGCCATGCCTGTTCTACACCGCTTGCCATTCTTCGTGTGTTGCTGTTACCTGAACAGCTTTTGAAGTTGCAAAACAAGCTTGCTTTGATTAGTATGGCAACTGAATAGACAGAGATAGCCTTGCAATGAAGCATGTAAAGCAGCGCGTTGACTTGAGGTTTTGAGAGGACAGTAGCAACAGGGACCAACATACTGCCTTGGGCGGCGCAGAAGGGAAGAGGCAATCCTCACCCACCCACATCAAAAAAGGCAGTACTCCGAACACAGCGGTACGCCAAGGTCCCCCCCCGCGCCTTGGCCTGGCTTTGGCTTGGCTTGGCTCAGCCCGAGGCGGGTGCCTTGGCAGCGTTGAAGGCGTGCACCTGCAGGGGCGGTGGCACACAGGGGCTGGACTGGAGGGAACACTGGCGAGCATTAGCAGTGCTTCCCCGCGCGGCTGCTGGCTGGCCAATGCTGCCCGCTGTCCTCGCGCATTGCTCCGGAGCGCCCGCTCTGCTCTGCTCACGTTGCCGCTCTCCACGCCCGCCTGCGGGTCAATGCTGACGTTGATGAGCGTGGGCCGGCGGCTGGCCAGCGCCTGCCGCAGCGCCGCCTGCAGCTCCACGGCGGTGGACGCCTCCACGCCTCGCCCGCCAAACGCCTCCATCAGCAGGTGGTAGCCCGCCTGAGGCACAAAGGCGGTGGGGGCGGGGTCGGAGGGCACGCCCGCTGCTGCCAGGCCTGCAGGTGGCAGGTGGAAAGGGCGGCACAGCAGCAGCAGCTTAGCCGGGGAGGGCCACTGCATGGGTACGGCCGACCAGGCTTTGTATAAACCCGCAGGAGGCCGTGGCTTGCAGCGCCAGCGCAGTGCTGCCCAGCAGCGGCGGCCTGGTGGAAAGAAAGGGCGGGCTTGCCTGCCTCTGCCATCTCCCGCAGCCGCTGCTCGCGGCGGTCGCCGCCGTAGATCCCCCCGTTGTTGAGCACGACGATGCACACGGGCAGGTTGTACCTGCAGCAAGGCACGGGTTCAGGCAGGCAGCAGATGGGGGGCCGATGAGAAAGGAAGCGGACGCGGAGGGCCAGAGATGAGGCTGTGTGGCGCTCGCGAGTGCAGGCCTGCATGGCGGCGACGCGGGCAGCCGGGGACACACGCCACCACCAACCGATGCACGCCGCCGCCTAGCACACACCTGCAGATTGTCTCGCACTCCATGCCCGAGAAGCCAAAGGCGGAGTCGCCCTCCACGGCCACCACGCTGCGCCCGGGGCAGGCAACCGCCGCCGCGATGGCGTAGCCCAGCCCCACGCCCATCGTGCCGTGCGTGCCGGCGTCCAGCCGGCTGCGGGGCGCAACCACGGGCTCCAGAAGCACCCTGCAGCACCACGGACGAGGTATGTCGGGTGGGGCAGGGGGTGGGGCAAGGCTCAGGAGCAGCACACCACAGGCGGGGAGGTGGCACACCACACGGCCTGCCACATGGCGACAGCAAAGTGAGGTCGGGAAGTGGCACATGACACAGACACCACACCACAGCCACGCCATGCGCCCCCTGCGTCCCTGCCCCCACCTGGCATTGTCCATGGTGTTGGCCCCCTCGGCCACCACCACCGCCGGCGTGGGCAGCGCATTGAGTTCATCCCGTACCACCCGCAGAGTGGTATGGTAGTCGAGAGGGAAGGCGGTTGGCGCCAGCTTGGCGGCCAGCCGCTCCCGCGCCGCGCCCACCTTGCCCTGCAGCGCGGCCACCCAGGCGGCCGCGCCGGGCAGCGCGCCGCCACCCAAGGCGGCCAGAAGCTGCTCCGCAGCTGCGCCGGCGTCGCCGCACAGTACCGCGGCGCCCTTGGCGGCGTCCTGCTCCGAAGGATCCACATCCACCAGCACAAACTTCACCCCCGGCGACCAGCGCGGCGCCTCTCCAAAGTGGAGCTGCCAGTTGAGGCTGCAGCAGCAGGGGAGCGGGCGCCGAGGCACGCCATGGCAGGGTGCATGCTGCCGCCCACTCTCAGCACGGCGCGCCGCGGTGCGGCGCGGTTTGCAGGAGCATGCCTGGGCAGGCGCGCTCACCGGGCGCCGAAGACCACTGCCACATCCGCCTGTCCCAGAGCCATGGAGCGCGCCGCGTTGACGCACAGGGGACTGTCGTCTGGCACCACGCCGCGCCCCATGGCCGTCGCCAAAAAGGGCAGGCCTGCGCCCTGCACCAGCGCACGCAGCGGTCCCTCTGCCCGCCCCAGCGCCGCGCCCTTGCCAATCACAAGGAGCGGGCGCTGCGCGGAGCGCAGCAGCGCAGCGGCGGAGGCCACGTCGGCGGGCGTGGGCGTGGGGCGTGGCATGGCCAGCGGCCCAGCCACCGCCGCCTCGGCCTGCTGCGCCGCCGCTGCGTCGGGCAGCGAGTCTGCAGGGGGGTGGCGGGAATGGGCTGGATGAGGGCGGAGCAAACGGATGATCAATACATGTAATAATGTCCTGCTGCTGTGCATGTGAGATGCATGTCACTTGCTGCCGGTCTCTCCCTCCTGCCCCTGTCCGTGTTAGGTAGCCCTCGCCCAGCCGCCCCTACCCCGCTCACCAAACAAGAGGTTGGAGGGAATGTCGACGTAGGCGGCACCTGGTCGGCTCGATGCAGCGGCCTGCAGGCCAGGCAAGAGAGGGAGGATGCCTGGCTCAGCAGCAGCATGCCACCACCCAAGCTCCAACATCCCACCCCCCACCTCAGCGCAGGCGCTTCCGCCAGCAGCCACCCTCCCACGCGACCCACCGATGCATGCGGCCTCACACCCACGCACCTGAAACGCCTGTGCCACCAGCCGCGGGATGTCTGCCAGCTGGGCCGCCCGCCCCGCCCACTTGACGTGCAAGGCCGCCGCCGCCAGCTGGTCCAGCTCCTGGAAGGCGCCCTTGCCCACCTCGGCCTGAAGAACAGCAAACGGGAGCATGCGTGCGAAGAGACGTGTGAAGAAAGGACATGTGAAGAACACAAGGGCGTGTGGAAGGCAGGGGTGAGGGCAGGGCTGCTGTGGCTGCCAGCAGGCAGGTGCTGGGCCATCTGCTGCCCACATACACATGCATCGTGGCTGCAGCGCCTCCCCAGCCACGCCGCTTTCTAGTCCGCTTTCTAGTAGTCCGCAGGACCATGCCACCGCACCTGCTCGCAGCTGCCCGAAATCATGACCACCGGCCAGCAGTTGGCCTGCCCGTTGCTCAGCCCAGCCAGGCCATGCACCGCGCCTGCAGCAGCCCAGGGCGCGACACCTCAGCAGCAGCAGCAGCAGCAGCAGCAGCCCTGGGACGGCGTGCCAGCCCTCTGGGCGCAGGCTCTCGCCTCTGCACTGTACCAGCAGCCACCAGAAGAAAGCGCACCTGGACCGCTGACGGTCAGCAGCACGCCAGGCAGGCCAGTGAGGAAGCCGGTGGCGGCAGCGGCGTAGCCCGCCGCCTGCTCGTTGCGGAAAGAAATGAAGCGGATGCCGCAGGCCTGGGCCGCTGCGGGGTGTGGGCAGGGCGGGGAGGGAGGAAGGGCAGCGGGCACGGTGACTAGCGCAGGCCACGGCAGCCGCCTGCAGCGCAGCAGGTGCAGCGCAGCAGGCAAAGCGCACACCACAGCGCCCACAAGGCAGCACTGCACAGCACGGCAAGGGAACCAGGGGAAGAGGAGGAGGCCTGCACCTGAGGCCAGCTGGGTGACAGGGATGCCGATGACGCCATACATCTCCTTCACGCCCAGCTTGGCCAGGGCCCGGGCAACTAGAAAGTACCCGTCGTTGGGCTGCTGGCTGAAGTCAATGGAGCTCTGGCCGGGCTCCACGCTGCCTGCAGGGCAGGCCAGCGGGGCAGGGCAGGATACCAGCACTGAGTTCCCTTGTACAGAGGTGCAGAATGTTACATGACCGATTGCTGGAAACAAAAGCCCAGAGGGGGCAGTGCACGCCCCCATTGGGTGATCAGATGGCCAGACAATGTGCAGAGGGCCGAAGGAAACAGCAATGCATCTGTGAGGCTGCGTGTATCGTGCAGCATGCAATTGCTGCTGTGGCAGAGCTGCTGCCAGCAGAGCTGCCACCAGCGGCGGCCGCTCCCTCCCGCCAGCCACCTTCACTTGCCTGCAGCCACAAAGCTCGTGCACAGCCTCAGCACCAGCATCCGCCCACGCCTGCGGGCAGTGCTGCTGCAGCCACCCCGTCCCGCCCACCTTCTTCCTGCGGCTTCTTGTTGATGAAGGCATCCACCATGAAGCGGCGGCTGATCTTGCCGGTGGGCCCCTTGGGCAGGGCTTCGGTCACAAACACGCGGGTGGGCACCTTGAAGGCAGACAGGCGCTGGCCCACCACACGCTTGATGTCCTCCTCTGCAGCAGGCGGGAGAGCGGAGAGGCCAGGCACACATGAGCGGCACTCGTTGCGTGGCCCTTGCATGTCCCCACCTGCGCCCGCCGGTCCAGCGTGCAGCGCATGGTCGCGTGCACAGCAGCGGCAGCGCAGCAGAAGGAGCTCCCGCCACACATAGAGCAGCAGCCGGGGCTCCCAGATGTCCGCCACACCCCCAAACACGCAGCCCAGCGTGCAGGCGACGGCGCGCACCAATGTCGGCCATCTGCTTGCCCTCCTCTGTCAGCACCACCGCCGCCGCCACCACCTCGCCGTACTTCTCGTCGGGAGCAGCAAACGACACCGCCTCGGCCACGCCCGGGTGCGCCAGCAGCGCGCTGTCCACCTGCGGCAGCCCGACGCAGCGGGCGAGGGTGTGTGGTGGCGGCGGGGAACGAGGCAGGCGCTCCAGAGGCAGGGCAAGGTGCACCTCCCAGTGAGCGGTGTGGGGTTCCCAGGCCCTGCAGCTGGCCGCATGCGCGCCTGTGGACACCCCCAGCCAGGCACCCTGGCCGCCTGTCCGCCTGCCTGGCCCTCACCTCTATGGGGCTGATCTTCTCGCCTCCCCGGTTGATCAGCTCCTTGAGGCGCCCCGTCAGCGTGAGGTACCCCTCCTCATCCAGCATCCCCTGGTCCCCCGTGTGGAACCAGCCGCCTGCAGGCCATGGGAGGGTGGATGCGAGAGGGAGAGCGTGCAGGTGTGTGTTGTGCGTGTAAGTGTGTGTATGGGTGATGGTTGTGGTGGTGGTGCTTGGGCAGGCAAGGGTCACAAAGCGACGGACAGGAGGCGGGAGCCTGGGGGCCGCGGCATGCAGACCTCCTGCCCCGCCCGCGCTGCGGGCCACCCTTTGCGCCGCTCCCGGTGCCCTGCCTCCACACACGCACACACACACACACACACATCACAGCAGCGCCAGCCCACCTGCAAACGCCTCCTCGTTGGCCTTAGGGTTGTCCAGGTATCCCTTAGTGACGTTGGGCCCCCGGATACACACCTCCCCAACCTGCCCCGCAGGCAGCACGCTGCACCCCTCATCCAGGATAGCCACCTGGACTGAGCCCTGCGGCTTGCCCACTGTGCCCGGCTTGCGCGGGCCGTGCTTGGGCAGCGGGTTGGAGGTCATCTGGTGGGAGGCCTCCGTCATGGCGTACGCCTGGCGCCAGCAGGGAGGCGGGGAAGAAAGGGCGGGGGGAAGGGCGTCATGATGCATCAGCGGGCAGAGGGGCGATGATGCCAGCCTTCGATGTTGTGATGAGGGGAGGCCTGGCTGTCGGTCAGCGAAAAAAACCAATCGCTGGTCCCCTGCCCAGCCCAGCCTCCTGTCCAGCCTCCTGTCCAGGC